TGACTAGGGGTGCTTACAATTCGGTAGAGCACATTTTTTGAACCGAACCAATCTGCTTGGTTTTTTAATTATCCAAACCGAAGCAATCGGTTAATCGCAATTCAGTTTTTTTTATGCATTTGAAATTAAGAAAAAGGGAAAAAAACCTTGAAGCATTTCTTAAATTTTTCATTAAGCATTTATTTTAACATAAATTCTCAAGGACTAAAATTTGATCGTTAGTTGGTTTTTCAAGCATTTCCTAAATTTTTCATCATTCAGCTCTGAAGAGAGAAGAAAAATAGAAAAAAGAAGAACCTAAAAGACTTCAATATTATCTCAGTTTTGAAAACAGTGGCGGAATTTGAAGTGGAGGCATTAAATAAACTGAATCATAACAATTTAAACAAGAAGGAATCATGGGAATAATAAGCTACATACCTGGAAACATGTTCAAAATGAAGTCAAAAAACCTAGTTTCCATGCTAGATCTGGCTCTCAAGAGTGCAAGTATTTCCTCTTCCCTCCATGGATCTACCAGTTCAGAAGTGGAATTGAGTCCTGGGAGCTCCATATTTCGAGTCATCTCCCTCTCTTCTTCTTTCTCCTCATTTTAAAGGGGACAAACTTAATAGAGTGCAAGTATTTCCTCTTCCCTCCATGGATCTACCCGTCGATCAATCTGGCCCATTGGGGAAGAAGAAAAAGATAGATGAGAGAAAATGACTGAGTGAGAGAGAGAATTGAGAGTGAGAGACATTGAGACTGTTGGCGTGTCGGTCGGAGGCTCGGAACTCGAAGGTCGTCGGACGTCGATGACTCGGTCGGAGGGCGGAGACCGTTAGTCCATTGGGGAAGAAGAGAGATGAGAGAAGAGAACTGAGAGAGGGAATAGGGAAAGGCCGATTAGGTTAAAACTTAAAATTGAATCCTTTATTTGATTTTAAAAATAAAATATATAAATTATACATTAAATAATATATTATATATAATATATATTATTAGTATATACCAGTCGGTTCAATTACCCGCCATTTTTTTAAAGGTTAACCAAAACCAAACCAGCTAGTTTGGTTAACCATTTTTTTGGTTTGGTTTCAGCCGGTTCGGTTTTTCGATTCTTTTTGCTCACCCCTACTTGTGACATGGGATTAGAGAGGGACAAGAGAGAAATGAGAGGGAGTTGTCTTGTTACTTGTTGTTAGAGCCTAGGAGAGAAAAGAGGGCCTCTCTATGGGGCGGTTGGAGAGAGAGAGAGAGATATGAAGGGAGAAATTTAGAGAGGGTGTAAATTTAATGTGAAGGGTTACAGACATGGCCTACGAAGAGTTGGAAAGGGGAAAAGGAGGAAGGAGAATGCAGGGAAAGGGAAAAAGGAGTAAGGAGAGGATGGGTGACATGGACAACATTATTTTACATACAATATAGATTTGAAATTCAAATTCAACCACTTTAATTAATCAAACTGTAATGATGTCATTATATATATGTATATGTGTGTGTATATATGTAATAATTATAAATTACATATTAGATTATAATATATTCAAAATATATAATTATCTTTTTCTATAACATATTTTTATTTTAGTTTCAATTTTTATATTAAAAATTAAGATTTTAGGCCAAAAAAGGCATTTTCTGGCACAAATAGTGGGAGAGTCGTGGGAACATGTAGATCTCAAAAAGTTACCCAAAATGAAAAGAAAAAAAGATCACCCCGATCGAACATCTGAGCATAAAGGTATAGCCTTCAAAAGTTTGCATTTAGGTGCTAAAAAAAATATTAAAAACTTATCGCTTTCTAAAACTAAGATTGGTTCACCGGTTTTCTAGTTCAACCAAATTTTCTAGTCCGATTTTCTAAACATTGGTTCTTATAGTTGTTAAAGATGATGAAAGATGTACAATTTGTGTAACATCCTATTAGTGATTAGGAGATCACCACCACATGAATTAATAATGTTAGTATTTAAATAACTTAATATTAATTAAGTCACAATTAATATATGATAAGGTGTATTATTAAAAAATATCAATATTAACTTATCACTTGGGAATAAAAATTACAATTAATCTAAACAGGTTAAGCTAAGATAAGTAAAATAGAAAAATAATTACATTATGGCTTCACTCACTTTTTGGGAAGTTAATTACTCGGGTAAGTGGTCAATGGGAAATCCCATTGACCAACTTTCCTTCCTCTCAAAATCCAAAAACTGAATAGGCCCTAAAGTTAACTTAAGCTTTAGTATTTACACTCACTTTACTTTAAATTTAAATAGAGTAAAATTGGTTATTAATAATTGTTGTAAATTAAATTATTTAATTGTTATTTATGTAAATTCCATAGAAAATTCAATCGGATTTTATTACCATATGGTTACTCATTCCTAACATCTAGAGGTAATTAATTTTAAATCTTTTTTTTTTTTTGTCAAGAAAGCCAAAATCATCAATCATGGGAACTTCTTAAAATAAGTTAATATTCTCCAAAACATAAAAAACTAACAAAAATTAAGGCTGTATTTTGTTTGAAAGTAAAAAAAAAAAAAATAAAAAAAAATAAAGGTAAGGAAAAACTGTTCTAGTCCTCTTCCTTTCCCTTCCCTTCTTTCTCTTCAAACCAAATACAGCCTAAATCTAATAAAGCGATGGGAAATATAAGCCCATTTCATATAACGCAAAAGGGAAGTCCAAGTGATTTTTTCTTATCTTATTGTGACAGGATGACAAATGACAATGGTGGGACTTGATTTCATTCTGGCCAAACATATTTATAGTGAGTTAGGTGCAATTATCATTTTTAATTCAAAAACTCAAAAGCATAAGCATCGGATACAGTTGTCCTTGTTTGTATTATCCACCATAATGACGACCGAGCCGCATTAAATTCCACCATTAGCTCCAGTTACACGGTCTCCACCGTCGGAACTAAATATACAAGTGTTGACGGCATTCCAACCAACAAATTTGACACCAGGGTCGAGGCCCATCTCTATTCTTCAATGTTACAATTATAATTTCTTCTGGTACCAAGAATGATAAAGTTATACAGTCACGAAAAGAAACACTTGAACACAAAGTTGAACATGTCTTTTTCATGAATCCCATTTTTCTATTCAGTTATTTATTGATTGGAAAATGAAATGTAAGAGTTTCGTAAACCTCTGCCTAGCTACCAGTATTGATTCCTTTCTATTATTTTCATTAATTGTCTTTATTACTAAATTATTCTTTACTTCGTGATGGGTAAAACCGACCTCTGGTCAACTAGACACGTGGCATGTATAGGAGAGTTGTCAACCGATTTGCAAGCTGAGCATCGGAGGCCTAGCTTGATCTCAAGCTGAGAAGAATCACCTCGGGTTTGTGAGTCCATCTTGTTAAGAGATATGTGACCTAAGAAACGAACCGCCCTGAGCTCCCGCGAGGTTCCGACAAATGGACGACCGAGATGATTGTTGAACCGAAGTCCGAAGAGGCAATTCCTACTGAGACAGATTGTTGTCAAAGGCAAGCATAGAACCTCACCATGTGTTCAGAGAGTGATCATTGGCAACTCGTGTGGCATAGTAATCAACACATAAGACATCCCATCAATCAGTGGGTCACAGACTCACATCATGCATTCATAATGTGGCACACCGCTCAGCCAAGCATGCTACACCGAGCACCACATGGCCAGATCGTTTAACAGGTGGCCCTGATTAAGCCCCAAGTGGCCTGACTGGGCCACAAGTGTCTCAAAGCCGAGCTCAAGGTATCCTGACCGGCCCCAGATGTTTAAGGCCAATTACCAAGTGTCTCAAGATGTAATAGATGTCCCACACTTGTCCGACACATGTAATCTCAATGTGCAACCGAAACCTATATAAAGGTCAGAATGCTTCATTGAATTCTCGATGCATTGACTTAATCGTTGAAGTTACAAGCCCAGGATATCACCCCAAACTCTCTAACCTTCCTTCTTTTGCATATAGATACCGAGCTGCTCTAAAGACCTAGACAATTTTTGGCGGCATCACTTGGATTTGGTCATCCCAAAAAAAATGCAATCTCCACTCATGTTCTTCTAATCCACTATTTCCTTTTGTTTATAGAAGTCAGAGAAAAAGGATAGCTAAGAGTAGAGAGACAGACCCCGCCAATGGTAATACAAAGTTACAAACCCTAGATCCAAGGCGTCTGGATGAGCTAAAGACAAGAAGTTACATCGCGGGCTAGGCACCCAACCGCTTTGTAATACGTATTAGTTTTTGAAGGGTTAAACTCTATTACATCTCTTTTAGTTTTTAAATTTATTTTTATAAAAGTCAAATAATATAATTTGTTAACCTTGTCTCTCTCTCTCAAAGAAATTTGTTTTATTAACAACAAAACTAAACTTGTTTCAAAGTTTTGTTTTTTTTTTTTCCTTTGTTGTAGAAACAATAGTAAATGGAGGAAGGGCAGAATAATCTCGGCATTGCTCCCTTAATTATATCGACAAATACATCTTCCTGTCTCCAATAATGATTAATTGAAGAGAATGCAGAACCCAAAGGAATCGCCTTCTTCAGGGTGCTAATTTCCACAACTAAGAATTTGGAGGGCATTTGAAAACGACAAAAGCATTAATTGTTGCCAAAGGAACGAATCAAAGAAATTTTGGTTTCAAGATAACACCATGGAGATTGGGAAGTCTGAAATTGATAAAAGTGGTGAATCTGTTGAATAGAATGAGGAGATATCTCTAATCTTGCTATAGTTACTAGTGTTAAGCCTTAGGAAAGAGGAATTCTTCAAAAATGCTTCCATGGCTACCTCCAAAGACAAAAAAACAAAACCCTTTTAACCTGCTAGGTCCATTTGCTTTCTCTGACTACAATCTCCCGGGCATCTTTGCAATCGGATCAATAATCTCCGTGATTTTTTACAATTATATCATGTTATCATCTCCAAGTAAATCTGATATTCAAAATGTAACAATGATTTTTCCCATTTTTAATTAAAATCCAAAATCTAAAAAAGCAACGGAGAATTATCTACTCTCCCGTTACTTTTATATGCTAATAAATAAAGGGGGGTGAAACAGGAGGCGTGTTACAGGCTTACAAGGCGTAAATTCTTGTCTTCACCTCATCCAGATAGACGCAGACCCAAGGCGGGCGTGGATCCACTACCCGCCTTAATACTGTGGATCGCCTGCCATAGCATTAATTCATCCTCTTCTCTTGAGTCAACACATGATGTAGACATGACAAGCTCCGTTGATGGGTATCTTGTGGATTCTTCTCTGGTCCAATAGATTTTGAATGGCCAAGAGATCTCTTTCAGGAATCTCCCACTCTTACACCACCGTAGGTGCAGAGGAGAGAACACCTACCCCTCTCTCTCTCTCTAGATCTCTAACGGTGGGCTTTATTTATTTTATTTATTTCTTTTCTGGTGGGGGACAGGAATCCGTCTTCATTTCCAAGAAAGAGAAACAAGGCGTACTCTTCCTTCGTTCATGGCCGGTAACACAACGTCCCCGGCGGTGGAGTCTCCGGAATCTGAAAACTCGTCGATCAAGCAGGTGGCTCTGACGGTACCGACGACGGACGACCCAAACCAGCCAGTTCTAACATTCAGAATGTGGGTCCTGGGAATAGTCTCTTGCGTACTGCTATCCTTCCTCAACCAGTTTTTCTGGTACCGGACGGAGCCGATATCCATCACTGGGCTGTCAGCCCAGATAGCCGTGGTTCCTCTTGGCCACCTGATGGCGTCCACTGTCACAAAGCGTGTGTTCTTCAAGGGCACCCGCTGGGAGTTCAGTATGAACCCCGGTCCCTTCAATGTCAAGGAGCACGTTCTCATCACCATTTTTGCCAACGCTGGAGCAGGCACTGTTTACGCCACCCATATTCTCAGTGCTGTTAAGCTCTTCTACAAGAGGAAGCTCACCTTCATTCCTGCCCTCCTCGTTATTCTAACAACCCAGGTACTCTCTCTCTCTCTCTCTCTCTCTCTCTCTCTCTCGCTCCCCCCTGTTACTATGGATTTTGGATGTTTCGAGTTGCAGATGTTAGGGTTCGGATGGGCTGGGCTTTTCAGGAGATACCTAGTGGAGCCGGCGGAGATGTGGTGGCCCAACAATCTCGTTCAAGTCTCCCTTTTCAGGTATCTAAGACAACAGTACTCTTTCCTTAGGCTGTTGAATGTCTGTGTGAGTTTCTTGATATCAGTTCTATTAGAAAACAGGGATAGAACATAGATAAGATTAATGTTGAATCCCTATTGCTGTTGGTGGCTTTCAGGCCATGTATATCTATCTGCACACACAATGATAGATTAAGGCCCTGCACACACAATGATAGATTAAGGCCCTGGGCCCTAAAATGAAGCAGTTCTCAGTCCTCCATCCATTTGTGTCTTCTTATCCATTAACTTTCTGAAAGCATATCTTTCTGTAAGAGGGTGATTGATCGGTCATCAAACCCATCATCGATCTACACGATACAAATGGGTATGTGTGTGGTAGGTGGGGGGGGTTTTACAAAATAAAAAATATATATATATATATATTTATATTAGACTAGGATGCACCGATGCATTCATTATTATATTATTTATATTAAATCAAGATTTTACCTAATCACATTAAAAATGTCATATGATCTATTTAACTTTCATAGGTTCATATTTACAAGGTATATTTACGAATAAGACTTTAATATGTAAATTGTAATATATGATTTTTGTTTTATTACTAATTCACATTTTTTTATCTGCTCCATAGATTTTTTCTAAAAACAAAAAGAAAAATATTACATTATCTGATTGGAATCAAATGAAAAATGTTGTTCTTTCAACCATATAAAAATAAATAAAAACTATTTTACGAAGGCAATTTTCTTTTGGTCATATTTGACAAAGAAAGTGGGCCGCTGGTGATGTTTGATGAATTGCCTGCAAGCTCAAGCTTGAGAGGAATCTTGGATGGAGGCCCATAGCCCATTTTCTGAATTCAATCATTCATGATCATGACTCATGAGACCAGGAACAGCGCACTTGAGTCTTGAGCAGTGTTGAGCTGTCAATTTAACCATCACTATTCATAAAAAAGCCTGTGGATACGCGTGCTTTCTACTGTTAACGATGTCGAAGCTTTGAAACCAATAATGCTCTTCCAAGCTCATAGATATTGACTTGACTATACTTACTATTTTAGAATACAAAATAATGCATTTATTTTCGTATAGAAAACGTATAATATAATATTCGAATAATGGATCTAAAAATATAGAACTATTTTCTTTTTAATATAATTTTTAAAAATGGAAAATATGGTTCATAAATTTTAAAAAAAGGGTAAGTTGTAGAAACCTCCCTTTGAAGATTGGTAGTTGCAATTTGGGACGGGTTCGAGTTTGGCTTTTGTCAAAATTCTAATGGGTTCGGCCCTTAGAATCTCCTAGCAAGAGGCATGAAAATGTTCAAAATAATCATGCAATTAATTTTGATCAAAATGTTTATTTTTTTAATTTTCTCCTCATATCAATAGTTGCCCCAAACCCTTTCCAATCTCTGTTCTGAAAATGATTTATTATTCAAATTTTTACTTTATATCAATCGCTAAAAGGTAAAGCTACAACCTTAAACTCTTTTATTTTCTTTTTTTTTTTTGCTATTCATAATATTTGTATTGTTTTTTTTTTCTGTAGAAACCAACGTCAGTAGTAACTGCATGAATATGTTTGACATTTTTGTGTTTTTTATTAGAGGATTCTATAAGAAAAAATCTACTTGCAATTATGTCAAAAAATTTAAGAGAGATAATTACAATTACCCAAAAATGGATAGAAAAGTAATTAACAGAGACACCTTCCCTTTGGTTATAATTAACTAGTAGTGTTTTTGGACGGTGTTGATTTGCAGGGCTTTACACGAGAAAGAAAAGAGGCCCAAAGGTGGAGTGACGCGAACCCAATTCTTCCTCATGGTGTTGGTGTGCAGCTTCGCCTACTATGTGTTCCCGGGCTACCTCTTCCCCATGCTAACATCCTTGTCATGGGTCTGTTGGATATTTCCCAAGTCCATCTTGGCCCAACAACTTGGGTCGGGCCTTGAGGGGCTTGGAATTGGTGCAATTGGACTGGACTGGTCTACTGTCTCCTCCTACCTTGGGAGCCCACTTGCTAGCCCTTGGTTCGCCACTGCTAACATAGCCGTTGGGTTTGCCATCCTCATGTATGTCATAACCCCTATCAGCTACTGGTTCGACTTCTACCAAGCCAAGACCTTCCCACTTTTCTCATCCGGACTCTTCACACGAACCGGTCAGAAATACAACATCTCCAGCATCATCAACGACAAATTCCACATCGACATGAATGCTTATGAGCATAATGGACCCCTCCACCTCAGCACATTCTTTGCCATCAGCTATGGTGCCGGTTTTGCTGCACTTACTGCTACTGTTGTCCATGTCCTGGTCTTTCATGGAAGGTAACTATAACTAGTAGTAGTAGTAGAGTTGATATCTGATGGATGATGGTTCTGGTCTCATTTAGTGTTAGAGAATATCAACCTATTCAAGGACTTCACCTAACAGGTTAAGCTTTTAGGTTGAATGGTTATTTGAGATGGTATCAAAGCCATTTTGACCGAGTGGTCTAGTATTCCCCTCGTTACCCCATTATAATTAAATAAGTTTCAGCACAAGGTATGGGTGAGCCTGTGCCTGTTCATGCTTATTGGGCTTTCATGTGAGGGGGCGTGTTAGAAAATATCAATTTATTCAAAGACCTCACCTAACAGCTTAAGCTTTTAGGTTGAATGGTTCTTTGAGATTTACTCGAGCAATTTTTTCCCAGATAAATGCATTACCTAGGTACAAAAAACAAAGGAGGCCTTAATGAAATTATCTCATAGGCTTTCAACTGTTATATGAGAGATCCCGTTATTAAAGCCATGCATGATCCCCACATTGTCTATGGTACAGAGAGATATGGCAACTGAGCAGATCAGCATTGAAGGAGAGCAAGATGGACGTGCATACAAGGCTTATGAGAAGGTACAAGCAAGTCCCTCAGTGGTGGTTCATCTGCGTCCTGGTGGTCATCATTGCCACCACCTTCTTTGCTTGTGGGTATTACAACGACCAACTTCAGTTGCCATGGTGGGGTGTCTTGTTGGCATGCTTCCTAGCCATTCTCTTCACTCTTCCAATTGGTATCATTGCTGCCACCACAAATCAGGTTTGTCATTTTTCACTTCTTTTCTTTTCCTTTTGTAGATTTTCTGGACAGTGCCAGAGTTCTTATTAGATGATGTTCATTGTTTGAAAATCTATACTTGGGTTCTATGGTAAATGGGCCTCTGATTTTTTTTTCTTGAAAATTGAAATGCAATGCAGTCACCAGGTTTGAACATCATAACTGAGTATATCATGGGGTACTTGTACCCAGGGCGTCCAGTTGCTAACATATGCTTCAAGGTGTATGGGTACATCAGTATGACCCAGGCTCTCACCTTTATATCAGATTTTAAGCTAGGCCACTACATGAAGATTCCTCCTAGAGCAATGTTCATGGCACAGGTTGGTTTATTTCCATATTAGCTATTTCAATTATGGGAAATGTGCATCTAGTAGGTTACAAGAGAAAGAGAAAGCTTATAAAAGAGATTACTTGATAATTATCTACAGTGAGCAAGCTTTAATCCTGATCCAAATAATGAATGTGATTTGTTGTATCTACTAAACCTGGAAAAGAAATCTTAGGTTCTCCATGACGAGTTTACTAAGTGTGTTCTCCAAGATTTTCCGTTCTGAATAGCTTTGTAATCAGACTAAACAGTAAAACTCTGCCTTCTTGATAAATGCCTGGAACGAGTCATCCTTTTCAACATAAATTGGGTATCAGAGATTGATTTATTAGCTTCTGTTTGGATAAGTTTTTGCTTTTGAACTTTGGACTGGGGGAAACACAAATGAGCTAAAAAGTGTTTTTAGCGTTTGGTAAGAATTGTTTCTGAATACAAAATAATCTAAAGCCATATCACTTAAAACACCAAAACACAGCCTAAAACTGGGGCTCTGTGCTTTGGGGCTTTGAAAGCAAGAACCTTGGAGTTTATCCAAAAACAACCTTACTTTAATCAGAAGCAATGTATTTTAACACACTCACCCTTCAGTTATTTCATGGTCAATAAGGTTATCTATGCAGTTATTTGCCCAAATAAATGCTACGAGAGGTGAGGAGTACCTATTATAATTTGCTACTGAGTAATTCATGATTCAGTGAATATCAATAAGAAGATTCAGAAACCCAAAGAAGCGAATTAGTGGATGTTTTCAAACCATTATATTTGATCTCAAAGTTTGTCAGAACACACCTCTATTATTTATTCTAGAACTGAAGATAAACAATTGCTTATATTTTTTATTCTCTTAGCTACTTTTCATGATTTGGAATAATAGTTAGCTAGTCCAGCTGCACTATAAGTGGCTTATTTATTATGTTAGTAGTGCAAAGTCCAACAAACCCTTCATTGTTAATGTAAAATTCCTCATTAACAAAAATGAGGAAACTTCATTGTTAGGGGTGTAATCGAGAATGATGATCAAGTTACAAACCCTACTCCGACCATTTAATGTTGGACAAATAGAAAAGATTTTGCTCATAAGTGAAGAGCTGCATCTGGCATATTGTGCAATCCATATATTAACCATGAGACTAGAATGAATTTTTACAGGACAAATAAATGAACAATATGTAATGTGGAACAGAATGTTGAGTGGTTTAAGAAATGCTACATTCAGAAAATAAGCATAGCTAGATGAGGATGCCTAGATGAGTAGCTATACTAGGAAGAATAGTTTTTAGAAACAATTTCATTAGAAAAGACTTGGGCCTTGTTCGCTTTTCGACAAGTTATTTATCCGGGTAAGTGCAATTATCTAGGTAAGTTTTTCTTGGGAATCACTTACCTGGAGTGCATTTACCCATGTTCTTTTATTTTCCAAGTAAATAAGGCAATGACCATTTTAGCCATAAAAATCTATTATTAAAAGGGGCATTTTTGTCCCATTCAAGTGCTTTCAACTTTTCCTCTAGGTGTGAAAGTTATTTACCCACCTAGGAGATGGGCATCACTTACCTAGGTAAATGATACCCAAGAAAATAAGCTTTTCCCGTTAACCACATGAATCTAAAAAAAGAACATGAAATTCTTGGACCCCCCCCCCTCAAAATCCCAAAAAGGAACCCCTCCCCCCCCTAGGAGCAAACCCTATTAGGCGACAAGACGAAGCAAAGTGTCTTAATGTTGTGGTCAATAACTATAGAGTGAGAAGTGAATTCATGCAAATAAAAGTGCTCTAATGAGCAAGGAGAAAGCCAAAGGAAGACCGGGATGAAATAGTAAGAAATTACCCAAGGACTTAAATTTTCCAAAGAAGACATATCTCTTCACAGAATGCTATTCCCAAATACTTTCACTCAAAAAACATTTTTTTGGTCTGCATGCTAATGAATTCTACTTAACAACCTATTTTAATACCTCATAGGTCATAGCTATATAATTGAAAGCTCCACCATTCCTTGCACAAAAAAAATGACAAGAAACCCAGCTATTCCCAGTTGCTTTTATTCAAAACATTTTCTCTGCATAGTGCATACTAATAAATCCCACTGAAATTCTTAACATGTTATTCAGGAGTTTCTGCATATTCTCTGTTAGTATTTTTGTTATTTCGTCCACTGTATGGGACAAATTCTTTGCCATCTAGCAACTAAGCAATTCGTTTATTTGTTGCCAATTTTTAACTATTGTATACTGATGATGAGTCAACTATTAACCCTGCGGCTCAGATGATAGGGACCTTGATAGCTGGGTTTGTATACTTGGCAACTGCATGGTGGCTTATGAAGACCATTCCCAACCTCTGTGACACAAATTTGCTCCCCGACAATAGCCCATGGACTTGCCCAATGGACCGTGTATTCTATGATGCTTCTGTCATTTGGGGGCTTATTGGGCCACGCAGAATTTTTGGGGATCTGGGTACCTATCCGGCTGTCAATTGGTTTTTCCTTGGTGGGGCGGTTGCCCCTCTCCTTGTCTGGGCTGCCCATAAGGTCTTCCCTAACCAAAAGTGGATCCGTCTCATCAACATGCCTATCCTGATAGGTGCTACAGGAATGATGCCTCCAGCCACCGCTGTCAACTTCACTGTTTGGATCATCATCGGGTTCCTCTCTGGCTTTGTCATCTACAGGTATCGACAAGGTTGGTGGCAGCGCCACAATTATGTCCTTTCTGGAGCTCTCGATGCTGGTCTTGCCTTCATGGGAGTGCTATTGTTTCTGTGCTTGGGCTCGAAGAATATCAGCATTGATTGGTGGGGAGCCAGTCCAGATGGGTGCCCCTTGGCTTCTTGCCCAACAGCTAAAGGGGTTGTGGTTGATCACTGCCCAGTTTTCTAGCTAAACAAAAGAATCTGAACATAGGTTTGGAAATATCTGAAACAGTTGGGTTATTACTGTAAATAATGCCTATATTTGTTTGGAAGATTTGATGAATCAAATGGCGGCCTTTTTCTTACCTAGTCCTGCTAACCCATGGCATTTTGCCATGAGAAAGCAGTAAGCAAGATTGGACCTCGTACAGAATCAGGCGCCTGTTGCATGGAATGAATTCATAGTGGTCTATACAAAAGTTAGATATTTGGAAAAACCTGCAAGTCAATTTGATGTAAACTACTATTGTAGGGAATTGATTCCTTAAGAGTTTGTTCAAGAAATTTTTCCAAATGTGATCTTGTTCGAGCAGCCTAGGGATTTTGATCAACCCAAGTCGAAGAAATTATGATATTTCTTCTTTCAAAATTGTACAACTTCACATCAACAAATAAGTCCTAAATTAGACGGAAAGTTGAGACCTTATCACTAAAATAAAAACAGCACCCTGCTGTCTTTAATGAGATTAAAAGATATTCTCTCGTAAATCACCCAAAAAAAAAAAGAAAAGAAACTAATTCAACTCCAGTGATCAAAACCTTGATTGCACTCACAAATCCGCCTATACAGCCTCGACCCTTGGCCTTATTATGAATATTTTGGTTATCTGACCTCTTATTGATTTTCTTTACAAGCCAAAAAAATCAATGACCTTACATAATTAACTAATAAGAGAAGAGCATCCCTATTTTTAGTATAAGAAATGTATCCTTTTCCATGCTTCTTTAGGATGGGAAGTTTGTACCAATCACTTAAAGTAGAAACACCCACCTAATTCGTTGCTGACTCCAAAGGTTAATTCCCATATCACTGCATATGCTTCATTCCTTGAATTCCCTTTTCAACTTAAATTGGCTGAAACTTTTCATTTTCCACACTCCTAAAAATAAGATGATGACTCGTGAAGTACATTCAAGTGTGCAAGAATCCGTGCTGCCAAAGGTTTTGTAGTACTGTTTCCCCTCTGAGTTAAGTCAACTAAAGGCATCTGAGCTGATGCTCCGTACTTTTGTTTGAATTCTATCAACCGGAATATTCTTTCCAAAGCAAGAAGAGCCCTTTCCTGCAATTCAGTAGAAGGGGAGCCTAATAACTTAATAATTGGTGGAATGGCATTTGCTTCAGCAAGCACCTTACTACCACTCTGCAGTCTTTCACCATCAATCAGTGTCAACAATGCCTGTAAAGAAGCCTTGGAGGCTCCAAAATCTGATTCTCCAAGTATAGTTACTAGGGGTTGCACAGCTCCAGCCTCGACAAGGCAAAATGATAACTCAACTGTACATATGCCCATGTGCACTGGGCAGCCAACTTCAGGTGGTGGTGAGCAGCACCAGAGCCCCCTATGTCTCTTGATTGGCCTACTCAACCTAACTGAACTCTCTGAGAACTGGGCAAGGGAAGTGGCCGCATGTTGTTTTGTCAAAGCAGTTCCAGAGCTTAGCAGTTGTACTAGCACTGGGATAATGCCAGCTTCAGCTGCTCTCTTCTGCCACTCCAGATTTGTTGATACAGTGAAGCGGCATGTTGCTCCAACTGCATTCTCTATTAGATCGTTTTTATAGGATCCATTAAATTTTCCATTAGTTAGGAACCTGAAAATTACTGGAAGTGCCTCAGCATCTAGAAGCCACTGGGTGATTTGGATGTTCTTCATTGGAAGGTTGGAGATAATACCCAGAGCAGCAGTAATTTCTTCCTCATCATGACAATCTCTGATGATCCTGATCAAGGTCCCAATGCACCTCTGGTCCACATATTCTGACAACGAGCCATCATCTCCATCTTCCGTCAAGCAGAAGAACAGCTTTAAAGCATTTGCTCGTAGAGCAATATCATCAACCTCACAAAATTGAACCAACATTTGAATGGCCGAGCACTGTGCAATCAGAATCATCAAAATAATCAGTTATATATATATAGATATAATTCTTTTCATTTTCTTGGCCAATCAAAAATGTTTTGATTCAATGGAAATAACATATAAAGTTTCAATTGACCAAAATGTTGCTTTAAAAAAAATTGACCAAAATGTCCATAAACTGAAGCCACAAACCAACCACCAAAAACAAATGGGTATGTAGCTGCTGTTGCATTATAGCAAAGTCCAAAATCTCACATTTTCAGATCGGTCTAATGCTTTTTCTTCATGGATGTTTGAGTTACAGAGTGGAAATGCATAATTGAATAGCAGTTAAAGATGACCAGAACAAAATGTTTCAGACTAAAAGCAGTTGCACAAGAGAGGAAGTTGTCCAAAATCTCACTTTTTGTTTTTGTAGAATTGGGTAAGCATCACCAAGAGAGGCAAATGGTAAGAGGTCGGGGGGGAGAGAGAGAGAGAGAGAGGACCCAAGGGTGCATACCTGTCTAAGTTTAGACCTTATGTCTATTGTAGATGGGTGTTGGCACATAGCATGAAAGGTCCTCAGTATCTTCTGTTGTATAGTAGGTGCTGTCAAGTTGACCAAGGAGAAGAGTTTGAAAATGTCTTCATCATATTCAAGTAGTGTCACTTCTGTCTGTTTGGCTTCTTGTTTCGCTGTTGATATCGCAAGGTTCATGATGGTTGATGCTACTTGTTCTCGCAAAATCATGGATGCATTATGACGGTAGAGTAGGTCAAGTAGTGGACCCACTGCACCTTCCTGAATCATCTGCAAGGCATTCCTTGGTAAAGTGGAAAGATTCTGAATAGCTTTAACAGAAACTCTCTTCATCTCCTCGTTGCCATTTGTGACCAAGTGAAGAAGTGGCTTCAGTACTCCATTCTCAAACAAAGTCAATTTATTGTGGTCACTCAACTCCATTTCTGCCAGAGTGGTCAACATGATCATCTTGACATCTTCTGGCCCTGCACCAACATGTCCATGACTGCTGATTTAAATTTCATACAAGTTTAGGGAATCAGAAAGCTTTACTGTTCATGCATTGACATGGCATAAACAAAAGATCATATAGGAAGAAATGAATAAATTCAATAAGGATATAATATTGTAGATGAAACAAAAAAAAAACTGTCCAAAGACATCCAGGCAACCATAAGATTAATTACCATGCATGTAAACAAAATGGGCAAAATAATTGCTTAAATAAGTTTTGAAAACAAATATAGATTCATGTGCTTGATACTAATAACAAGTTTTTATGGTAAGATACTACAATTGAATTAGTTAAAGAATAGGTATTGGACAAAAAACAAATACAGCTAAACTCTTCTGCTAAGTGATAAAAGGTTTCTTGGTACTTCTGCAGTTCTGCCAAGTATCCTGTAGTAATTAAAAACAAAAAGCAAGGCAATGCCCCTAACATCTATTTAAACAATACAATTGCAGCAGAGACAGGAATGCATGATATTATTATGTTGAAGTATAATTTGCCTCCAATTCCAAGATTATAACTTTCCCAACATAGCATATTAGCATGTCCATGATGCTCCCTGGAGCTACCATCTATTTGTGCCTACTAGACCCAGAAAAAAAGTATGAAAAATTCCTGTTGATATCTGCATTAGGCACCTGCTTCATCAATTCGTAGTGCCATCAATTCATGGCCTTCCTTCTCAATAGGTTCTAAAGGAATGGATATTTGGTTACAATTGGCTTGGCTAGAAAAGCTAGGTGCAGGTACCTCCTTGTGGATTTTGTCTTTAGCTCTAAGAGATTTTGCCTTTTTTTTCCTTTTTTCAATGTACCCCTTTTGTGCATCTTCACAGATATCATCATCATATCTGTGAAGATACACAAAAGGGGTACAGTGAAAAAAAAAATCCGCCAGTGTGAACTTGTCTTACACAGCCGGTCACAAGCCTGGATAAAGGAGAGTGCATCAGGTTGGCAGCTGGCACTAAAACTTTTGCCAAACTCTCATGATATGGATCCTGCATCTTCACAGATATCTACTAATAAATTCATTTCAATTACTTGTCAACAAAAAAGATTTCAATGTAGGAGAAGGTGTATCGCACACTGCATCATCAAGAGACATGAATAACACCACTAGAAATAATAAAGGCCTTTTTTTGTGCATCTGTATGCATGAGGATGGGGGAAAACATCATAAATATTTATTGCTCCATTTTTTTTAAGAACAATGGATGCATTTGGTTGCACATAGAACAAAGGAAAATGAACAATTTCCTAGGAAAAATTATATTCAATAGGAAACCAAATAATTTTCCTATTTTTCCTGGTGTTTGGTTTCTGATGAGGGCGGATTTGGCCCTCCAGTGAAATTGTGACACCTGGCACCTCATGCAAACCAAGTGCAACCTCTTGACAACTGAGCAGCTCGGGCAGCTCGGCACAGCTCGGGCAGCTCGGCATAGCTCGGGGAGCTCGGTATAGCTAGGGGAAGCTCGGCATAGGCAGCTCGCCACAGGYAGCTGGCCACTCCGCAGGCAGCCTGGCGTCTTACGAAGAGCTCGCCACTTAGGGGCAGCTCGGCACTTACAGGTAGCTCGGCATAGGCAGCTCGCCACAGGYAGCTGGCCACTCCGCAGGCAGCCTGGCGTCTTACGAAGAGCTCGCCACTTAGGGGCAGCTCGGCACTTACAGGTAGCTCGGCATAGGCAGCTCGCCACAGGYAGCTGGCCACTCCGCAGGCAGCCTGGCGTCTTACGAAGAGCTCGCCACTTAGGGGCAGCTCGGCGTATCGCAGGAAGATCTCCTACCTGACAACCGTACCTGACAGATCCGGAGGCCTGCGCCCACGTCTCTCGCTAGGCGGCACCGTGCCTGCCAGTCCTGAGAGTTGTCCCTTGACTGGCAGAGCTGTACTCTGCAGCAGTCGCCTACACCCGCCACCGCAGCTCTGGCAGTAACGGCTGCGGCAGAGAGACAGAGGCAGTTACGCCTGACTTGACAGAGGTCGTTACGCCTGATTTGACAGGACACCACTATATAAGGACTCCGACCCCCAAAGACAAGGGGGAGAGAATGAAAAAATGGAGGTAATCCCTGCTCTC